TGGTAAACAGCATCCACACTGTCAAGTGCCTCTCTGCTATTGTTTTTTTCTTTAAAGCAAACAAACAAACAAAAAACCCTGATGCATTCTCATTCATATGCAAACCAGGCATGATCTGACCCCATCATCTGAGCAGCTGAGGGCAATTTAATGTTGATGATAGTATACCACAGGTGCAGAGTCTGTGCCCTCCCAAGTGCATTAACATCAAATCAATATTCACAGCGCCCCCATTTTCTTCTTAAAAGTGCCCTTTTCTAATGGAGTGGAACCCTGCTAGCATTCCCATTTTATTTTCCGTATGTTTTATTTAACAAAGACCTGAAGCTCATTTTCCGTGGAGTATTAATAAAGAGCAATGTGCCCCATCTTCTGTTTCCCCCCACACAGCCGTAGCTGGGCAGACGGCATCTTCATGAACACGGTATCTGGATTTTAACCTTGGTTTGTAGGAGACAACAAAAAGCACTGAAAACAAAAATCTAAAGTCTGATTAAGATAATGATAACGTGAGTCCTCTTGACGAGGTGTTAGCTGTGACACTTTTTTTCCTCCTTCTGTCTTACAGGTTTCACCAGGGCTACAGGGAGAAGCGAGTGTTCCCAGAGAGTAAATTCTAGAAGCTGCAGACGGGCGCCTTCTTAGCAACATTCTCAGGGGAGGACCATTTGTGATCAGGAAGAAATAAATAGTAGAAGACATGTAAGTGGAAATCTAAAAGGTTCTGCACTTTATAATTTATGATTTCAAAAGAAGTCTGTCTTTTAATTCTAATGGAGATAGCTCAGTGGCACAAGCACCTGCCAGGCAAGTGCAAGGTTCATGAGTTCAGTTCCTGGTAAAAGGAGAAAAAGACCTGTGACGCACTTAGAAGCTGCTTAGAAATTTGGGTCCATAACTTAGTTTTTACATGTTCTAGGTACTCATGGATGAAATAAAGTGAAATTGTTTTTTCTTTTTGTATTTTTTAGGGAATGGTCTACAGGGTGTTCAGGGTCTCACTACTAGATCCGACTCGTAGTGATCTGGCTGTTGACAGCCTCCTAACAGCTGGGATTACAGGCATGCGCCACCACGACAGGCTGGGGGATCGAACCCCCGGCACCTGTGCCTGCTTGCAGGCACTTTAATCCACTGAACTATTTGGCCAGCCCTTCAAGGTTGTTTTTGTATATGCATTTAACACATCTGTGTTTGTGGCGTGTGCTAAGCTATCTCTTCCTCTTCATTTGGGGTCATCCTGTTCTATGCTTGTCTACGACACTGGCTCCTGCCACAGCGTGACTTTTGTCAGGTCACACACTAATATTCTCCACTTACCATTTTTATTTGTGTTCCCCACTGTCTTTCTTCCAAGACGATTTACAGCAGTTTGAAAACATATATCTCAAGTACTACAGCGAAATAAATGTGATTTAAAGTTTTATACACTTGCCATAAATCTAGCTCTAAGTTTTTTACTGACCAAATTAAGAGTTACTCTAATTTTTTAAAAGTGTTGACTGATTGATTGTAGTGCTGGGGACTGAATGCACTGAGCTCCAGCACTCAGCGCTGCGCTGGCTGCTCGGCCTTCGCCTCGCTAGGCGGTCTGGGCTGGGCTTGAGCTTGCGATCCTTGTGCCTCAGCTGCCTAGCGTGCTGAGACGCGAGGTGTGCAAGTCCAGCTTGTGTTTGTGTTTTAAAAAGAAAAATAAGACAAATATAATTTTATCCCAGCACTTGGGACGATGACACAGGAGGATCACTGCAAGTTCAAGACCAGCCTGGGTTACGAAGTGAGTTCAAGGCCAGCCTGAACTGCATGCACAGTGAGACCCTGTCTCAAAAAGACCAAGGGGGGGGGGGAAGACAAATATAATTTTAGTGTATTTAGTCAATTTTAATTAAAGTTTTGAAAATAGGATTAGGGTACATGAGTTCCTGGTATTTTTTTGTAAAAAGAAAAACACACACCTGTGACCAAAACCTTAAAATGTACAGAAGTACACAGAAAGTTTAAAAAAAAAAAAAAAAAAAAAAAGCCTCTCTCCTCAGCAAGAACTTCTGTTAGGAACCGCTGTGAGTACAGACTTTCAGATCTCAAAAGTGTATCTTTTTTTTTTGCAGAACCGGGACTGAACTCCGGCTCTTGTGCTTGCCAGAGAAGCGCTTATTCCACTGAGCCATCTCCCCGGCCCCAAAAGTGTATCATGTTTGAGTGGGGATGCTGCACAAGTAGAATTCTCATGTAGTGCTGCAGGAAGTTATATTTGTACATAGTTTTGGAAAAATACATGTTAGAGCAAAAATAAGCAAGCCAACAAACTTGTATCTGCCATGGCCCAGTAGTCGCCATTCCCAGGTAGATGCCCATCTATACCAAAGGCACGTGCGAGAAGGTTCACGGTACACGCCCAATAGCAAATCTGCAAACGATCCAATACGTATCCAAACAGAAAGGATAAATGGTGGCTTATGCCATGAATGTGAGCGTGAAGGTGAACAGCAATACCGGGGTAAAAGAAGGCAGGCCCAGGGTACGTGCCATATGTGTGCGTGGAGTATGACACAAAGTACAAACTCAGACAAAACTCCCCGCGAGATTGAAAAAACAGTGACCAAGGGGACTGCTGGGATGTGGATAATGCCTACTTTCAAATCTGAGGGAGTGTGCACAAGATTTATGACATTTCTCATACATGCTATCATCTATTTTTTTGAGATAGTCTGCATAGGCTCAGGTTGGCCTTGAACTATGTAGCCAGCCTTGAACTTGCAGTGATCCTCCTGCCTCCGCCTTGTGAGTGCTGGGATTATGGGAGCGTGCCACCATGCCCAGCAGCCAGGTACAGTGGTGCACATCTCTAATTCCAGCATTCTAGAGGATCACCATGAGTTCAAGGGCAGCCTGCGCTACACAATGAGACGCTATCTCACAAAAACAAACAAAACTAAAATTCCAGCACACTACCAAGCTAGTATCACATAGCTATCTTACTTGAATCAGAAGGAGCTGCTTGGGCTGGGGAGGTAGCTCAGTGGCACAAGGGCCTGCCTGACAAGCACAAGGTCCTCAGTTTGATCCTCTGGGGGGAATATGATTATCAGGGAGATCACTTATGCTTACTCTCATCAATGCTGAACTTCATAAATACCTGTCACTGAGCTGTCCCACCAAAACTGCCACATGTGCCAAGTTATCCTCCCTCGGGAAAGACAAGGAAACAAGGGCTGAAAGCCTGAGCCCAACATAGGGGAGACAGACTTGCTCTCTGCGGCCATTGCCGCCCCTGCTTCTCCCTCTGGTCTTTGCTGCCTTCTGCCACCATGAACTGCTGCCCTCTGCCATGTGCCACCCTGCCTGGGAGCAAGCCGGGCATGGAGTGAAACCTCCACAGACTGTGAGCTAAATAAACCTTTCCTTCCTTAATTTTGGGTTTTGGGTATTTTGTCCCAGCAACGAGAAGAGTAACAGAGATAGCCACACAGCCTGGATGAGGCAGAGCTGAGGTTCCAGCCCCAAGCCTTCCATTTCATACCCTTTCTGCTATCCGGCTGTCTCCTAGCTGAACTGCAGCATGCAGGCAAACATAGTCTTCGATGAAATCCCCTGAATAATGGGAGGTGCGCATGAACCTTCTTTTAGCCAGGCGTGGTGGTGCACACCTATAGTCCCAGCACTTGGGAAGCTGAGATGGGAGGATTGGAGTGTGAGGCCGTCCTGGGATGCTTAGTGAGTTCAAAACCAGCCTAAATTATACAGTGAGACCCTGTCTCAAAAAAACAAATCAAATCATCTTTTTTTCCAGGAAATAAGGCTCCTCACAGTGCTTATCTTCTTTTGGTACTGGGGTTGAACCCACCACCTTTACACAGAGGCTTTAGTTTTTAATTTTTTTTATTTAAAAAATTATTCCAAGGTTATTGTATTTTTTTGCGGTACCGGGGATTGAATTTAGGACCCTGCGCTTGCCAGGCAAACACTTATTCTAATGAGCTATCTCCCCGGCCCCTTTATTTTTAGATAGGTTCTATCTAAGTTGGCCAGGCTTGGCTCAAATTTAAGATCTTTCTGTCTTAGCCTCCAGGGTACTGGGATTAGACACGTGCCACCAAATCAGCTGCTCTCTTTATCATACAGGGCAGAAGGGTTCCCTCTTAGTGGCCTGGTGGCTTTGCACTCTGCCACCAGCAGCAACAGCCGTCTTAACTTTGGACACACTGGGAGACGACACAGGAGTGTAAGGCTGAGAGGTGGAGGCTGCAGAGCTAGATCTACTGATACAAATACCTTGGTGCTCACACCACCATCAGAGCCATTTATGTTTTAAGATTTCAGTTTCCAAAAACCACTTTGGAAATGACTTCAGAGTCCTCAGTTCAGAATGTGTGATGAACCACATTACAAAAAGAAACCACTGAAAGGCAAATATATGTATTTGTAAACATAGTATTTTATTAACAAAATGTTTACACCCTTCTTAGAACAAATTTTAAAGTGATTTAGCATGTTATACCTTATAAAAAGTATGTTATGGAATATTTAAGCTACAACAGTATCATCAAAAAGTATGCCAATTCTATCTTCATTTGCAAACCACTACCAGAATAAGTATAAAAAGAAAAATTATACAACAAAAAGCAAAAGGTTTTTAGTTTTGTCAGTATCTACAATACAGACATCACATGGTTTACATACACTTAGGTCCAGCCCAAGATCAAGACTGCAAAAATAAAGTCTTCAAACATCCATACGAGCTTGGCAAACCATCATTACAGTATTTCATTACAGGTAACCAGGCAGTTTCTCATGCAGTGTGAAGCCACAGTTATAAATCTGTTTATAGTGTTACAAAGCGGCCAACATTGTAAGCATCTTAATTTTATTCCTAATAGGTGCTATTATAAAAAGGCACAAATATCTTACCTTTTACACCAGGTCTTGACAAGGCATGATATTCTTAAGAGAAATAAGAATTGCTGGTATGACAACTTAGCTTTTTTTTTTTTTTTTTTTTAAATGTCTAGGCTTATCTCCATAGCTGTTTCTGTTCTAGACTTTTACAAACTTTGACAGATGCTCTATTAAAACAGCGAAGTTCCAACATTTAAGCTAATTACTGTATCATGGATGAAAAGCATTTTGGCAATCAGCTGCATTCCCACTGAACGTGCAGGCTGCCCCTTCCCCTCTGGAGGTCCTGCAGTTCTTCGCCTAAGCTGGCCTTTGTATTTCTCACTGTGCTCCATGTAGCGTGGCTCCCTAGCTGCACAGTGGGCCAACCCTGGCACTGCAACCACAGAAGGCCAATGGACGCATGTCACAGGGGCAGCATGTCTCTAGGGGAAAGCCTTCAGGAAGCTGAGAAGAGTAAAGGGAGAAAGGTAAGAAGCCTGCTTCAACTACAGAGCAGGCAGGAGCAAATGCTCAAGGTCAGAGGAACGACCAATGATTGACCCATCAAGAGAAATGATGGGAAGGTTGAGCTGGAGGATGGCAAAACAACAGCCACCACAAAACAAGACCCCAAACCTCCTCCAGGGCAAAACCCCAAACCTGCTCTGTCTACAGGAACAAAAAAGGGCTTAGAAACTGAGCCTCTAGTCAGCTATTCTGACTGGCCAGCTGCCAGTGACTTTTCCCTACTCTTATTGACTGGTTCCTCTGAAATTGTCTATGATCTAAGGTAAGAAAAAAATTCATGAACTCTGAAATAATTTCATATAGATAAATCTATTAGATTGAAGCCTTAAGGCTACCTTCAGACATGACCCTTGGTAGAGGGGCTGACGGTACTCCCGAGTGGCATTACTGCAGCGGGCCCTACTCCAGCTGGGGGCCAGTCGGCTGAGCTGGGCTGGGGGAAGAGGGAGATCCAGCTCCTCCACATGACTTCAAATGCTTCAGGGGTTTCTGTGACAACTTTTCCTGGCCCCCTACACAAAATGCTATTTTAAAGCTGATTTCCTCCAAAGTTTTGCATTAATCTTTCCTTAATCACTGTAAAGTTCCTGAATGAAGTAGCTTTGATAACACCAGCATGTTTTGTTTCTACTGCATGATTAAGGAGGGCTTTAAGATCTGCAGTATAAAACTATCAACTAAAGGTTCTCTCAAAAAATTACTGTCTTAAGACTTCTCATTAATTGGCAGAAAGGACACGGTACCTGCGCTTTCCTTCGTGGAAAGCTACCCAGAATTTTACTGTAATTATGAAGCATTTTGATGAGGCACTGGGTATCACACAGATCTCAAATGAACTAGCAACAAATTAAATTTTTTGTATTAAATCTGTTACACATCATGATTTTAATTTCACCATCTACTGTTGGTATATCCTAATCTTACTATTGAAAATGCTCAACATAATAAAACAGATGAAAGGTTTGAGATTTTTAAAATTAAACTTCTAACTCCTTTTGTTTTGAAGCCAAAAATATTCTAGCATATCTATAACTGATTATACTCTGAAAGGAAAGAACACAGATATTAGTTATTTCTGATGGTACAGATCATCAAATTAAATTTGATCTATGCGACTGGAAGTCCTTCTAGATTTAGAAAGTAAATCATTTTCCTATGTGCTAAGAGAGTCCTGAAGTCTGAATGGAGAAATATGGTGATGTGGGGTTCTATTTATTCACTTTCCTCATTATGTCTAATGAAACTGCATCACAACAGGCCTCTCACTTTTCATTCTCTTAGATGAAAAAAATGGAGGCTCGTGAAAAATGTAATGCCTTTCTAATATTTTTTAGACTTTCATTTGCACATAAAACAGGACAAATGTCCTGGAATTTCATTAACATTTCTTGCAAATCAGATAATCAAATTGCCTGGTTTTCTATTACTGGAAGTCAAGACAAGCAACTCTGCTGTCAGAAGAAATTTGCAGAGATTGTTTTTTAAGTCCTAGGCTAAATTCCACCCTCGCTTCCCTTTTCTAAAACTATACAGTATACTGTTTATCTCTTATATAATTTTTTGCTAGGAATTCTTTTTTCAAATAAACTTAATATCCTAACATAACTTTGAATCATTAAAAAAATATTTTTTTTTCTTTTTTTGCAGTGCTGGGGACAGAACTCAGGGCTTTGCACATGCGAGGCTAGAGCTCTACCACCGAGCCCTACTGACCCCTAATAAGCTTTTTTTTTAATGGCCCAAGCTAACTGAAGGCAGCTTTAGAGTTAACAGCTGGGTCCCTGAAGACACATCCCATTTCTTCCTTTAAAACACTATTAACCATTAAAAGGTAAAGAACCTCTTAAAAATCAGACAGTGAATAAAAACTGGGTTGCTCTTCCCTTTAAAACAAATTGAAGTAATTTACGCTATCTAGGTTTCTATTGTCAGTCAGGGTGGACATTCACAGTCTAATGAGTTCAGTAAGGAGAGCTGGCCAGAGTACATGGGCTGTCATTTCTCCAAATGCTCTAAAGCTGGTATTTAGTACAGACAAAGCTAAGGGATTTCCAGTAACTTTTCTCTGGAAAAAAAATAATTCTCGCATTATTTACACAGGTCTTACAAAGACAGCTGGAGTTTAGGGCTCATCTGTTACAGAAATAACGCACTGTGCGCCTATAGCGCGTGAGCTAAGGGCCCATGCATCACGTCCTTGTCCTGAGGATGAGTGAAAAAGTGATAAACAGAATTTATACAGTTCTCTGCAATCCAATCTTAGCATATAAAAGATGTGTATAACCAACTGAACAAATGCCTTTTGGAGGCCAACCTACCAATTAGCAGAGCGTTAATACGAACCTGCCCTGCCCATTTCAACTCAAGGACATAAAAACACACATCCTAGGCTGACAGTTCCAGGAAAGCCATGAAATAGTTATGCAAAGGACATTTTCATTACTATAGCTCTTGGAGTTTTAGGAAGCCTCCTAGATGTATTTTTTTCCTGGAGACAAGAAATTGATATAAAAGAGAAGTTTTCAAATTAAATGTGATTTTTCTTTCCCTTTATTTAAAAACAAAGAGAACTGATAACCTGAGAAGGACACTGGCCAAATTAACTAGATCACGTCTCTAATATAAAAGGCTGGGTCCTGTCAGACACAGGCAGGTGTCCAGGAAATAGGAGCACGATGAGAGAGAAGGCAGCACAAACAGGGAACAAGAATGCATGTTATTTTGAAAGGAATAAATCTGGCAGCTGCTCTGCACAGAGCCTGTCGTGCCGATGGCTGACAAGCAGGTGACAGAGGCTTCACTTAGAAACAGAAGGGCCTGCAGTAGGTACTTCTCCCCAATCACTTCTTACAGAGAGTCTAAAATGAAGGACACTTAATCATACTCTTACTTTATATTCTTTTAATCACATGATAGTTAATTAGTTATCACAGAATCAGAAAAACACTTATGCAAAAGGAGAGATCTGGAGACCAACAGTTTTTAGGATTGGACACCTGCAAAGAGCTTATTTCAATTTCTCTGAAAAGAATCAATACACACTTGCAGCTAATTAATGATTTTTTCCTTCTGTTCAGTCCCCAAAGTTTTTTTTTAAAAATGGCTGTATGATTGAGGAACCAAAAGATTTTTATAGATAGGCTGTGTCTCAATTCCTTTGAAGTCTAGATTTTTCTCATAATTTTTGATTACTGCTTAGGTTAATCCAAAACGTTTAAAATAAAGCAATGGTTTGACTTTAATAACCAAGCGTGCATTTTAGACACAAGGTAAGTGAAGAGCTTTCCCCCGTTTTCACTGAGTATGAGTTATGGACAGGAGCTACAAATCAAATTTCATCGTGAAGCATTAGAATGAAACAATAAGAGCAATAGTGCCCTGCGTACTTCTTGGATGGACTGAAGAAAATGAGGACAAAGAATCCTAGAAATGCACGAGTGCAAGCTCCATGCACGCCACCCGTGCCTTCACCAGACGTGCAGCTGTGGTCAGGCAGTCATTCCCTGCACATGGACGGGGTGTGCAGGTCAGCAAGAGGAACCGGCAAGAGACCAGCTGCAGAGGGCCGATGAGACGGCCCTGCAGCGGGATAGAACATCATGCAGGTGTTCAGAGGAGGCTCAGAAGACCCTGCATTTACCTGTGTGCAGAGGCATCAGGTAATTACCAGCATCTATTGGCGGGTTTGGTGAAGGTCATAAATTTGTGTTGTTTCCCTGTGAAAGAAGGCAGGAAAGGCCACATCAGCACGGCCTCTTCTGTAGTGAGTCAAGAAACCTTTGTTTTTGTTTTGTTGTCATGGAGATAGAGGCCTAGCAGTGGGAATGCTAAGGCCAGACTAAGGTGGTGCCTGCATGCTCAGGAACCTCTGAAGGTACCTGAAGTGTAAGCAAGCCACCTTCAGGGATAAAGAGCGCAGCTCTGGGAGTCACACGGTTTCTCTCCTACTTCGCTAATTTGATGCTTGCTTGGAAACACTTTGCTGGGAAGATACTGAGTCTATATGTACTTAAACAGTATTAGAATTTTCATTTACTATATTCTTTTGATAAATGCTTAAGCCATACAACCAGGAAAAAGTCTCATTTTTTACTTAATCTGAGCTATAATTTTCCCACTGAAAGCTAGCCATATAAAGTGAGGGGGGGTGGGCAAAGAAATAATTTATTTTTAAAAGTTTTGACTGTTCAGTTTAAGGACAGCTCTGAAAACACAATTTAGTTTGAAATTCAAGCTGTTTCATTTCCTATTTAATCTTGTAAATTTCCTTCTCTTAAAATACTCAGGTTGGAAGGGTGCCAAATTAGACCAGGAACAAATTTTCACCAACTTCACTTCGGTGCTTTATTTTTAGATTATATTAAAAACCTCATTAGGCTCCCTGAGGGGAAAAGAGTGTTAACCACTAACAGAAGCAGGGGAAAATAAAGGAAACAGAGAGACAAGCTAAATTGTTAACAAGGAAAGTGCTCTTAAAACAGTTGGTCTGAGGTCTCTGTAAAAGCTAAAAGAAACTTATTACCAAAACCAAGTAAATGACTTGAGTTTAGAGCTTACTCTTGTACCCCAGAGTAGGAAGGACTAGTCAGGCTTAAAGCAGCACATGTCTTTGATTATCATTTCCAGATGGGAAGTGGAGGGAAGAAAGGCAGATGGAAAGGAGGGCAGAGAAGCCATGAAGGATGGCGAGCTAAATGCCCTTATTTCTCAGCACAGAATCCATGGGCCTCAAACTATCCCACAGACAGGCTGAAAAATGGGTGGGCATATGCAAGACCAGATGGAGTGTTGACTGAAACAATTTATTAATGTATTTACATATAATCTTTAAGCAATGGTCTCATAAATATAGACTATAACTTTACATATGCTAAGCAACTTATTTTCCCCACCAAAATACTTGGGTTAAATAAAAAATTGACAGCATTTATATTACTTCCTTTTTCTGTTTGTCTTCTTTTTTATGTGAGTCAGCTTAGAACGTATGCAGTTTGATTTCTTCCAGGCAGCTTCCTACCACCACCGTGCTCATGAGAGCTTATGTAAAGAGGCGCCAACAATGCGCGTGGTGCCAGATACATGACAGAGTCAGAGGCAAACCCAGGGCGAGGGGGTAGTGGCCACTATGGGGTCAGCTGACTGCACATATCTTAGGTTCGCACACTTGAGGAAAGTGCTTCAGAGATGGAACTGTCTCCATCCATCCTATAAATAATCCATTTTATTTTAAAATAATTGCTGCCAGCTCTCCACTTGCAAAATTCTCCCACATTTTAAATGATACAGTTCCCTGTAACAGTGGCAATGGGAAACCATGGAAATGATAATCTCTACAAAGTCTTTTTTCCTCCTCACAGACCATGAAAGTGCTCATTTTCCCTTTACAAATGTTACATAAAATCCTGATTACAAAACTACTCAGCAATTTAATCCTACCATCCATACAATTAGATGTTCCTTTCAGCAAGGTCAAAAGCCAATGATGTAGTCCCTTTGTATACCAGAGATTCTCGACACAATACAAGTCCGCAGACTGAAATATACTACTGCAGTCTGCAAAGAACACCACTGGTCAATTTCTGCGAGTCCTTTTAGTATGAAGAAGACTCAGAGCAGCTCAGCAGGGTCTGCAGCCCTCCTGCCAACTTCAGGCACACCTGCTTCTTCACCAAGGCTGAGCGGCTGGGGCCCATCAACAGCAGTTTCGCTTTGGCTCTGACGGCGGTCTTCGGAGTTTGAAGCCTTTACCGCCAGATGGTGGATTGGCGTCACTGGACGGAATTCTTCGACCTACACCAGGAGAGAAGAGGGGGAATCAGCTTCAACTTTGCAGACCTGTTCTTTCTCAGACCAACAATTTTGCAGATGCAATCTGACAGTTTCATTAAAGTAAAAAAAAAAAAAAAAAGTTTAACGAATGTTTTTACTTTGGAATGATTCACTGAAAAGTTACAAAGATGACAGATAGTTTCTGTATGTTCTCATCCAGTTCCCCCAACGCTGATATCTTATACTGTATTATCACAGTCATTTGTCAAAATGAACAGTTCAACATTGCCACAGAGCCATTAACTCTAGATTTTTTTTGAGATGTCACCAGTTTTCCGCTCAAGTTCTGTTTGTGGCCCAGGACCCAAGGACACCACACAGCATTTAGTAAAAAAGTTAATATAGAAATAATTACATGTTAAAACCATTTTAAGTATGTAACACATATACTAAAAAGATTCCATCAGAATGCGCCTGTCCTCCTTCACTGTGACCCCTTCCTGTGCAGCCTTCCACTCACAAACATTCCCAAATACCCACCACTGCGCTTCATTTCTCTCTCGAAAGCACCAACGGTAGGCACCATTCTTTTTTGCCTATTTCTACGTCATACATCTTGGGGGTTGCTCCCTCATGGTACAAGGTAGAACTGCTGCTTCTTCATTAGCTGAACAATACTGTATGTTGTGTGTACGTCATAATTTATTTAACCGACCGATATTTAGTTTATTTTCAATATTTATCAATGGTAATACATAGGATACATAAACAGAGTTCAGGATCTAGCTCACACCACTCTACTCCTGGGCATTTGTCTGACACACACCATAATTCCAATGTCTTATTTAGCACAAAAGAAAGAAGCATGTGCAATTTAAATTTTGACAAATGCTGCCAAATGGATCTCTGAAGAGGCTGTCATTTTATTCTCCTACCAACACTACGATACTACGTGAAAATGAACAGGTTTCAGTTTATTGCTCGAGAAGCATAATGTCAACTTGGAGAAACCTTGACTTACCCATCTACCTATCTGGCTGATAACTCAAATGCTGCTTCTTGTACAAAGTTTGTCTTGATGTCTCCCCCAACTTCCTAATTTTCCAATAGCCCAGATACTAAAATCCACCAAAACACCTGAAGTGTGCTATGATACACTTATTTACAGGGCTAGCTTCCACAAATTAGATCCTAAGCTCTTTAGGGAAAAGATCCTGTTTCTCAACCTTAGTGTTTCTAGTATATTGTAGACATGCAATGAATGCACTGGGACATCTGACATTCACAGGGAGGGAATCTGTGATACTCCTCTGGTCTGCCGAGGCCAAGCCTTGACAACTGAGCATTCTGGGCAGTTCATAACCTGTACAGGCAGTAACAAGCATGATTTCTGTACTGACTAGAAAATGCCTTTTAACTTTTCAAATGCCTGTAATATATGATGGAGAATAAATTACAAATGTGCTTTAGAGCTTTGCTTAAGTTTATCATTATGTTTTTCTCAATAAATGGAAACAAATATAGCTGGTGTCATAGAGGCAACTGTACAATGCAACAAAAATTTTTAAAAGAATGAGTATTTTTAGAAGCAGAAGAAAACATCTCTATGAACTGGCAATGATATCTTAAAAATTATGCTCACTATAAAAGAAAACAAGGACATATTGAGTTATATTAAGATGAAAAACCAGTTTATATATTGATTAAACAATGAAAGCTACTTGTAATTCCAGCACTTGGGAGGCTGAGACAGGAGGATTACTTTGAGTTCAAGGCCAGCCTGGGCCACATGACTACATGATGAACTCAAGGCCAGCCTGAATTACATAAGGAGACTCTATCTCACTACCCCCTCCCTGCCTCGTAAGTCAAACTACAGATATAATTCTAGTACATGTAATCAATAAATCCCTTAGATCCAAAAATAAAGAGATCCAAAATATGAAGAAAAAGGTAGGTAACTCAATAGGGAAACGTAAAAGATGACTATATAAATAACTATTTCGACAAGTGTGAATTTCATCACAATCATGGAAATACAGAACCTGCTCAGTAGATATGAAAATACTGAACCTCATACACTACTGGTGTGGGGGTCATCTGGCAAAACCACCACTTTAAAAAATCAAGTAACGTCATATTGAACACACACAAATCCAATGACCTAGCAATTCTCTTGGGCATAAAGATAACAAAATCAAAAATGTATACAGATGTTCACCAAAGGACATGACCAGAATGTTCAGAGCAGTACTATTTCTAATAGCTCTAGATGGGAAACAACTAGCCAAACGCCTAATTCGATCAGATTACACTGCTTGCCTGTCTCTTTACTCTGACTCTTGACAGTGACATATGCCAGCCACGAAAATGCATGCTTTACACGTATGCAACTGTACAGATACTCAAGAAATGTGATGAAAAAAGCCAGGCAAAAACGATAAATAGAATGTTTTAAAACAGATAAAGGTGCCAGGAGGGGTAGGATATACCTGAAATTCCAGCACTTAGGAGGCAGAGGCAGGTGGATAGCTGCAAGTTCAAGACCAGCCTGGGAAACAGTGAGACCCTGTCTAAAAAAAAAAAAAAAAAAAAAGACCCCCACTCCCCTCATCAAATGAGTAGGTGAAACCAATCTGAAGGGTTAGCAGCCAGGATGGCAGTTACCTTGGGGAGCAGAAGAGCCAAGTCACAGCCCGAGTGCCAGCGTGCTATTACAGCTTCTATTCTGTTTGTGACAACTCAATGAACTTCCACTTCTGGTGCTCTTTACTATGTGCTAAGCTTCAGCACAAACTCAGCATGCAGCAAGCCAGACACTGTGCTCATGCAATTTTACAACATCCAGTGAACAAAAAATTCTATTTCCATCTCTCAGTTTTCTTTGTGAATTATTTTTATTTTTCATTTAAAATGAGTATGTGCACATTAGCACCCTACTTTCCCCAGCCTTACTGAACTGCTGGGGAACCTAGGACTTTATCATACATACATGCTAGACAAGCTCTCTTACTACTGAACTACACCCTGCCCCCAGCCATACTAGTTTTCGTATAAGAGTATTCACTGCTGGTATAGTACATAACACTTACTATAAAAACAGTGATAGTTTTAACATAATTGCACTCTACACAGATATTTAGCTAAAACTATTCAAAATTCCTTTATTTTTTTGAGGTACCAGGGATTGAACTCAGGATCCTGCGCTTGCCCGGCAAGCACTTATTCTACCGAGCTCTCTCCCCGGGCCCTTATTAAAAATTCCTGATAAGCCTCATATTGCCTTTGAAGAATGCACCTGGATAGCGGGCATTTACATCTAGGGCAACAGTGAAAATCATTTCTCTTAACCTTGAAATGAAGGCTGGACAAAAGTATGTCATTAGCAGGCCATGGGCTGGTCAGGTGGGTCTACAAAGTACTCTGAGAATTAGTGGTCAAATCTAAACAATGGACACATTGCATAAAAATAAAGATCTTTAAGAACACTAGTTAGCAATATAAAGACCCAACCAAAATACAACTTGAACACTAGCTCAGCAAGGGGGCCATCAGAGGCTCATGCTCTGCCCAGCCCAACCGCGGCGGCCAGGCTCCTCAGGCCACCTCCACTGGAGCTATCCCTGGCTGACCTTGGTGGGCACTGGAATTCATGGCCACTCACCTGAGATGGCCAAGAGCCCTCTTTGCTTTTGCTATCTTCATGGGTATGTCCACTGCCTCCTCCCATCTGCAATGTTCAATTAATGTGAGTCCTAGTTCTCGCCAACTTCAGCTCTGATACCACCTCTGCGGAGAGGTCTTCCCTGACCACCTGCGTGCATGCTCATGCATCCTAAATTATTTTCTTCATATCTCATTATTATCTGAAATGATCCTATTTATCTGGTGCTGTCTGCCTCCCTCAGCAGAACATGCACTCCAGGAGAGTGAGGGCTGTGTCTATCTTCTTTACGCTGTCTCCCCTGAGCCTGGAACAGTTCCTAATAAATATTTTGATGAATTTGAATGAAATGAATAAACACAGATACAATCTGTAGAGGATCCCAAAGGCATGCCGCAGTCTGTCTCCCATCTAGTGTCACCATATTAACACTCTGGAAAGGGAAAGGGACGGTGGGAAAGAGAGGACTTACCTTTCCTTGCCTACTACCAATTTTTCAGGGCTTTCTTACAATGGAATCACATCTGCATTTTATTTCTCTTTATTTATTTTGTTCATTTTTGTTGGCCTTGGATGACTAATTGAAACAGATTTAGATACAGAAAGAGCTAGAGACACGACAGCTTCCATGACCTCGAAGCCCCGTACATTATTTATTCAGTAGTGACATTCTTTCCCGAAAGGCTACAGTCATCAGGCAGCAGCTCTCCAGCAATTACACCATGATTGGAAAGCAGACCATCCTTATATTCTCAAATCTCATCTCACTGAGGAGAGCATCAGAGACTAGACTATTCAAACTAAGGCAGGGACTCTCATTGGGAAGATAACTCTATTTGAAATTGTTCTGCATAGAGGAAACACATACGACACAGAGATACTCACTAATCTCTATAAAGAGTTCATTTATGTTTATCGCATTTTTTGCACTGGTTTCTACAAAAATCGCATGAATGGAGTCAGCGTAGTCCTTAGCATCTCTCTCCATGACTTCTCTGGAAGGCAACAATTGCAAATCAGAAATTCTACCCATTAAGATATTAACACTATCCCTATTTACCCAATTATTAACCAATTTAGGATGACAAGGGATACCCTAAAGGGCTGCTGAATGAGCCCTGACATGTGGTCATCCCAATTTTACTATTTGTGTTTAAATAAAACTCAGTATCACTAGTGACATAACAATACAGCTAATGAAATGATCAGGAAATGGCAAAGTTTTTCTTTACCCCTCCTCCTAAATTAAAAGAAAAGGCCCCTGCTTTGAAATCATGGAAGAAATGCAGAGAAACTGCCATAAGTGTGCTTTCTGTATCCAAGTACCGTGCATAAGAGTCTCGGGGCTGCACTGATCTCAGATAATGTCAAGTGCAATGTGACCAGTGTTTAAGTAAATTACACACCTGTCTCTCTCTATATAATATAATTAGCTCCAAATGCCTGAAACCTTAATTTTAGTCTGAAACTTCAGGCTCCAAACACATAACAAAAAGAAATTTTTCAATGTCAGAGAGAAAATAAAGCAAGATTCTTACCCTGGATATTGCTCATTAAGAAAAGGAACATACAATCAGCTCTGTAATCTCTTGTTCTAATAACTCACCTGACATCGATAAGATCACACTTATTTCCTGCAATGGCAACTACAATATTAGGTGGGCCGTGCTGCCGAAGCTCCTTTACCCAGTTTTTTAATGTTGAAAATGTCTCCTGCAACACAGAAATGGAGTAACTGGAGATGCAATCAATTCAAGAGTTTCCAAAGTAGTATAAGGAAAACTGAATATTGTCTTACTTCTTTTGTGATATCATAAACAATTATAGCTGCAGCTGATCCTCGGTAGTACATTGGTGCTAAGGCACGAAACTGCAGAGGAGGGAAAATAAACAGCAAAATTGGGAAAACTAGTTAAATACTTTTTTTTTTTTGTTTAAATATTTAAGCCCATTATCCCTGCACAAAGGTAATCTTTCTCTTAAGCCAAAGAGGATGACATAATGCTTTAAAGCAAATGAACCAGTAATTACCAAAGGCAAAAACTTTTAATGTAACACTGAAATGTCTCTCAGAAGATAGTTTAGAATACAGTTTTATAGGAATTAAATATGGTGCTGTAAACAACTGTTTCAGCTAAAAAGCTTTTTTAATTGAACTCAATGCTGTAATTCTCAAATTCATTTGTTCAACAGTCCTTTAAACTTTGGCTTCCCAAACTATCATGAGAGATAAAAATAATGCTATAAGCAATTCCCCAGAACAGTGGTTGTGCTGGGGTGTCACAGAGATCACCCCGTAATCTAGAGGCTGATTGTCTTAGACATAAGCACACATTTAAATTCACTACTTGAATGAGGTTGCAACTTGCTTTTCTGCTGTCTTCATGCAGTGCTAATTCCCAAACACGAGGTATGTGTCTCATTTCACGTTTATGAATTTAACTCTGCATGTGTATTTCCTCCCTAGTCCTCGGCCCCCTCCTCACTCCACTGCACACAATAGAGGGACGAGAAGGAAGAGACAGGAACAATCATTTCAACAGGAAGGGTGATTTATGAACCATTTCTTTCGATTAGCATGAGACAGAAAATCTCTTTCCATCAAACTTGTTTCCTGGGCACAAATCCTGGTATGGCCATCACCCACCAATGTGATGCCAGTGTCTGAACACAAGAATTTTACCTCTACTTGATCTTCGCTTTGCACACCGCCTGGGAAGCCTGGCCTCTGTAACTGTGCTGCATCTGGCTGTTCCTTGCGGCTCACCTTCCCACACAGGCTCTCTCCCCCGAGGGCAGCATTCCGCACACACACAGAGCTCATGTGCAGACTGCAGACGCTGCCGCTTCATCAATGAGGTTAGCCTTTTGCCTTTTAGACTTTTGTGTTAAATTTCCTCAAAGAAAAGTAAAATTAAAACTATGAAGTGTGAGGGAAGGCAGAATGTCTGTGTAGCACACTATCTCAGGACCCAGCACCTGCTGCACCACAGGTAATCAAGTGCCCGTAAATAAATGAATAAGAACTACGTAAATATAGGAGGATGCCAAATTAAATGCCAGACCCAGATGTCCACAAACAGAAACTTTCATTAGTTTTTGTGAGAAAAATATCAGCCTCTGGGGTGGAAGTCTGCTAACTTCCTAAAATATGTTAAACTTTAGAAGAAAACAAACAAAAAAATAAAAGCCGCAAGAAAGTACTACTGCAAAGGAAACAACATTACTAGCTGAAAAAGATTTAAAATCTTAGATTGGCTTTCACATAAGAAAACGAGATAAAACGACACAGGTGGAACAAAGCTGACCAAATTAGCTTCCTTGTTTTTTGTTTTATACGTAGTCCAGGTTGGCCTTGAACTCACTATGTAGCTCAGGCTGACTTCGAACTTGTAGTAATCCTCCTGCCTCAGTTTCCCAAGTGATGGGATCTTACAGTTGTGCATCATCATGCCTGGCTGACCTTTCATTTCTGAGGTACTTAGGACGGTAGTGTCTTTTTAGTTTTTTTTTTCTTTGGTCAAATTTGTAAAATTCACACAGATTGAAAGCAAAGAACTGTATATTCTGATAAACTGACAGATCTATACATTCACATAAGCACCATCCACCAAGAAAGAAAACATTTCTTCCTATCAATACAGAAAATTCCCTAGTATCGCTGTTATCATGTTCCTCTGTAACCTTAGTAATAACCCTTGTTTTCAAGTCTTCATGGAGTGTAATTCCCAAACACAAGGTATATGTCTCACTTCATGTTTATGAATTTAACTCTGCATGTTTATTTCCTCCCTAGTCCTCGGCCCCCGTAACATTTTGCTTATGTTTTGCACCGTGCATCTTCTTCCAGTCTCATAGTTTCAACCTTGGCTCTTTTCTTTTTTAATTGACAACACTCGAGATGGACCCAAGGCCTTTGAGCTGCTCATGTCCCCCGCCATTCTTCTTTGAGAGGCTCTCATTAAGTCACTAATTGTCCAGGCTGGGCTATACCTCTGTGGTCTTCCAGCCTCAGCCTCCTGAGTGGCTGGGATTACAGGTATTAGGCACTGTGCCCAACTCCTGCCTTTGTTTTCATATCTAAAGTCACCTTCTTAACCAACACACAGTGGCATCCTGTATTTCTGGTACAATCTGACAACCCTTGCCCTTCCGTGGAATGTTTAACTTTTATATCTTATTTATTTGCCAGTGTATTTGAATTTAGGTTTGCTACTTTGTTTTATATTTGTCCTATTCCCTTTTAAATTCTTTTGTTCTTCCTTTCCTCTTCTGCATTGATTATATGGTTGTATTCAATTTGAAAATATTAATTCTATTGACGTTTTAGGTTTTTTAAAACTTTTTAATTTAGTACAAGGTCTACAGTGTCTCACTACACAGGTTGGACTCGTAGTGATTGTGCTTCCAGGCTCCCAAGTGCTGGGATTATACGCGTGTGTCACCACACCCAGTCTCATCAAACCCCAGTCCCTGTGTCTGCCTAAGCAGGTGCTTTAACCCTCTGAACTGTCTGGTTGGTCCCTTTTTAGATAATTCTTATAAGTGGTTGTTCTTGTTAAATATAATTTTTTTACAGTCTATTTAGGGTTGAAAACATTACTTTATATAAAGTACCAGAACCTTACAAGAATGTAATTCCTTCTTTTTGAGACAGGGTCTCCCTATCATAGTTTAGACTGGTCTTGAACTTACTATGTATCACACGCTGGCCTTCAGTTTGCAGCAATTCTCCTGCCTCAGCCTCCTGAGTGCTGGGATTACAGGAGCATGGCACCAAACCCAGCCTGAGTATAATTTCTTTCAGTTCCTCACTCTTTATGCTACTATTTTTTTGGTACCAGGCATCGAACTCAACTCAGGACCTTCCACTTGCCAGGCAGGAATTTATGTCACTGAGCTAGCTTACTCACCCCTCTTTATGCTACTATGGTCAAATATTTTAAATTTATATAAACTATAAGCTGTCTAATCCAATGTTATAATTTTTTAACTAAACCAGTTGTCTTTTCAAATTGAGCCCTTCAACCCCTATGTTTTTGTATTTACCATTTCTAGTACTTATTACTTCTTAGGATCTGGACCTGAGTTACCATCTGGGGTCATTTCTCTTTATTTAAAAAAAAATTTCTGGAATTACTATTGCTGAATTTTCTTAGATTTTGCTGTCTTATTTTGACTTTCTCATATTTGATAGACTGGCAGGATTTTCCCCCTGCTTGCTTTGAGCATACTAAATATACTGTTCCTCCAGCTGGCTTCTAGTCTCCATTGTTCTGGGAGAAGTCAGCCATCATCCACATTGTTTTCCTGTATATTATACATCTTTTATCTCTGATTACTTAAGATTTCCTTTTATCTTTCTTTTTTAGCAATATGACTATGATGTACCTATGTATGTTTTTTCGTTGTACATGCTGGTTTGCTGAACTTGGCTTTGTGAGTTATCAGTCTCATCCAATTTGGGACGATTTCTGCCATTACTTCTTGAAAAGACATTTTTTCCCTATCTTTATCTTTTTCCTCTAAGGTCTCAAATGATATGTTTGTCACACTATTTGAATCTATCTCCAGCATACTGAGACTCTTTTCCTTTTTTCTACCCTTTACCCCCTATTCTTCTGTTGATTTGTTTGCTCAGTGATCCAAGGAATTTTTCATCTTAGCTACTGTGGCTTTCAGTTTTAGCACTTCTATTTAATTCTGTACTAGTTTCCATTCTGTGTAAGATTTCCCATTTGTAGTTAATAGTTAAGATGACTTTTTAAAAAATCTTTGAAGACATTTAAAATGTGCTTTCACTTCTGTGTCTGCATATCCTAACACCAGTGTTGTTTTGGGGTTTGTTTCTACTCACTGGGCACTCTTTTTTTCTGTTCCTATGTACAATGACTCTGACAGATTTACCACAGACTCTGTGGTTTCTATTATCTGTTCTTAAAGGTGCTATACTACTGGCCAATCATCTTGAGACTAGCCTCACGATTATTAAGGGAGGGTTTACTTGGGTTTGTCCAGGACATGAGCTCTACTCCTAGCCTGGCTCTGAGGTTTCCATGGAGTCCCCAAGGTGTTTAACAATCCCCCGTGATATGGCAGAACTAGATTCAAACTCTAAACTCTAGCTCTGCTACAACAGGCAACAAAGAACTCTGCTCAGTCTTGTCGCCCTCCTGTTTGTTTCTACTACATTTTGTAATGCCTGTCCTGTATGTGCACAATTTGGGGTTAATTAAGGACCAGAGGGACTTATAAACAGATTTTGGGGCGTTCCTCTTTACAGTAAGCATCTTTTCTGGAATTTGCCTCTTTCTTCAGCTGCAGGACTGCTGTAGCAGTCCCAAATTCTGTCAACTGTCACAGTTAAAGAGACTGGCTTTCTGCTTGAGTCTTACCTACTCTGTGGCACACTGACCAGGGCAGTCATGGAACTTTCTAGAGACCGAGTATTCAAACTACAATTAAAACCTACTTATTTATTGCAAAGGGCCAGGATTACAATTAAACCTGAATATTGAGGTTTTCAGCTTAAAAAACAAAAAAACACCTGTCATCCAACGCTGGACTGCTCGGGCAGCTTGGCTCACATGCCCTGTGGCACTCAGAGTATACATCTGTGGGAGGGTTAGGCTGTTACAAGCCATACTTCTGATACTGACAAACTCTTTCCATATCCTTTTGGTATAAAGAAAGACTCAGGCCGGATAGCTCAGCAGACTAAAGCACCTGCTTAAGCAGTGTCCAGGGTTCAATCCCCAGCATGCTGTGCTGGCCTTGTCCCCAGGGCATGCTGAGATGACAACTGAGACTGGGAGTGAGGATCACTACAAGTCCAATCTACGTAGTAAGACCCTGTAGACCCTGTCCTAA